GCGAATCACTGCTATATGCACACAGTCTGCTCCGGTCCAGAGACACGATAGCCCAGAGCGGGCCACCATTTCTCCAGCAACCTGTCTGTCACTCACAATTAGAGCATCTACTAAGCAAAGGTATCTAAAATAAACAGAAAATTATACACGAGTATAGTTTTATTCTCTTTATATTTACTATCATTATGATTAGGTAATTTTCATTATTAATCATTATTTTTTTTTTTTTTTTCCCTCTAAGCACTAACGAATGCTCCACACGCCAGTTCAGTAGGTGGCGGCAATGCACCTAAAGCATGTTTGCAAAGCGACAATAAACAATACAAGAAGAAAGTTTAACATGCAGCAAGCATGAAAATTATTACAGACTTCATTGTTTGAAGAACAGGACTGACGATCTCATGTAACACCCACAGACATAGGGAACACGAAGTAAAAGGTATATTATATGAGTTCTTTCAAACCTGTCATAGCGTTGAAGTTTTGTTAGCCTTTTTTTTTTTTATTTTGGACCGCTGCACAGACATTTTCAAGCTAGCTTAATCTGGATAATATTTAGTGTTCCCCTTTTTAAATTAATTTCTGCCAACTACTAACGTTTTAAACCTTTAGGGAAATGTTACTTCACTGCATCAGAAGGCGTCTCCAGCTTTTAAGCGAAAAGCTCCCCTGGTATCATCGGAATATATCCAAGTGCATTAGTACTCGTGATGTCAGTTCTGATGAAACCAGCCTCTTGATGCAACTTTGCGCTGAGCGTTATTACATTTCTTCTGAAGCGTTTCACACTAGGTCATGTACATATGGGCCCTTAGGAACAGAACTAAAGAAAAACATTATTGAGCTGTGGACTTCAGCAATACGTTCAAGAGCATATGTTTTTGGGATAAATACCTCAGCGTTAAGTATAACGTGTGAGGAACCTTTCAGGATTGTTGACATAAGGACTCTTAAAGAAATCCTAAACCAAGACAGTTTTACTACAGAAGAAGCATCTCAAAAGATTCAAAAACTTTTGAAAGACAATGCGTCTGTTCGGACGAGTCTGCTACAGGGTGAGTGCAGACCCGTCTTCACTATGCATACATTGCGCATTGCATAGGTCGCACAGTCCATGCGATGGTTTTAGTCATCTGGGATGTTATCATTTTCTCCTCAAGGTGCTTTACAGCAGTATACTCAGGCTTTGGAGCTTGTGAATAGGACATTACCTTTTGGATTGGCAGAGGTTGGTCTGTGCCATCATTTCGATAATCAGCTCAGACATTCATCCAGTTGGTGAGTCAGGCCTTATTATCTTATCTATCATTTTTATCAGCTGCGTTATTTTAGACTTAATGTAAATCATGTAAAATAGTAATTATTTTAATTTCTTTTCCTTTACATATGCAACCTTTTAATTAACTTCTGTTAGTTCTTTTGAGGTAACGAATCATCTTTGGTCTGGTTCTGTTCTCCCCGGACTTCTTCACAGTGGATGGACTACTGGGCTCATCAAAGACTGCAGTGGTGGAGGAAGGTAAAGCATGGAAGCACAAATATGGGAGAATTGGGTACTGACACTTAGAGCAGTGGTGGTTCTCAACTGGTTTGGCTATGGTCGTTAAGCTGTGACCCAAATATTTTCCATATTTTCTTAAAAATGCCTGACACACAAGTACTGTCCCTCTTTACTTAAAATTACATTAAAGGGATAGTTCTTTCTTCTGAACACAAAAGGATATGTTTTAAAGAATGTTTCAGACCTGACTTCCATAGTATTTTTTTTCTTACCATGGAATATTTTTTTTCTTTACTCTTGTGTCTGACAGTACATTTAAATTGGTAAAGTTACTGATTTGAAAAGTTAGTAATAAAATATACAACAAAGCAACACATTATATAATAAAATAAGCAGATCTATTATTTTCCATTTAAAAGCCAAGACTTAAAGGGTTAGTTCACCCAAAAATGAAAATTCTGTCAGTATTTACTCACCCTCATGTTGTTCCAACCCCGTAAGACCTTCGTTAATCTTCGGAACACAAATTAAGATATTTAAGATATTAAGATCGCTCCTGCATACAGTCCATAGGCTTCTTGAGGGACTGGCTCTTGCTGTCCCCGAAAAGTCATTAAAGACATCGTTAAAAATAGTCCAAGTGACTACAGGGGCTCAATCTTAAGTTTATCAAACGACGAGAACACTTTTGTGCGCAAAAAAACAACAAAAAATAACGACTTTATTTCAACTATTCACGTCCTTCTCCATGAGCCTGTAAGTCAGTTAACGTAGTGTGATTGCGTAAAGCTACGTCAATCTCACTATTGGCCGACGCTGGTCATGTGTGTGTGATGCGTGTGACGTACAATAACAGAAGCTTACGCTATTAAACTAGTAACCTGACTCGCGCAGAGGCAGAAATAAACGAATAGTTGAAATAAAGTCGTTATTTTTGTTGTTTTTTTGCGCACAAAAGTGTTCTCGTCGTTTGATAAACTTAAGATTGAGCCCTGTAGTCACTTGGACTATTTTAACGATGTCTTTAATGACTTTTCGGAGACAGCAAGAGCCAGTCCCTCAAGAAGCCTATGGACTGTATGCAGGAGCGATCTTAATATCTTAAATATCTTAATTTGTGTTCCGAAGATGAACGAAGGTCTTACGGGGTTGGAACAACATGAGGGTGAGTAAATACTGACAGAATTTTCATTTTTGGGTGAACTAACTCTTTAAAGTAGTTCACTTTAAAAAAAAAAAAAACTTTTGGAAAAAAAAAAAAAAAACTTTGCTGATAATTTACTCACCCTTATGTCATCCAGTATATCAATTTCATTCTTTTTTCAGTCAAAAAGAAATTAAGGTTTTTGATGAAAACTTTCCAGGATTTTTCTCCATATAATGCACTTTACTGGCCACCAAACGGTTCATGGTCCAAATAACAGTTTCAGTGCAAACTGCGAACTGTTCAAAGGGCTTTGAACGACACCAGATGATGAATAAGGGTCTTATCAAGCGAAATGATAGGTCATTTAAAAAAAAAATATAACTAAGTTTAAGTTTTATTAGCCAACATTCACCCAGAGTCATAGCGCCACCTAGTGGATTAGGGTTGTGTTTAAAACACATGCAATGGAATTTAAATTATTGCTCCTAGAGCACTGAACCAAATTCGACGAAACTCGATCAGCGTGAAGTCAAGACATTAAGGATGAAAAAGTGCCACGGGATTTTTGATATCTCGAACGGTTTGGCCGTGGCGAGGAAACGAAATTATGGCGAGAAACATGAAACAGGATGTCTGTTATAACTTCAGCATACATTAACTGATCTTGATGAAACTTCAGCAGTGTTTTCGCTGTAAGAGACCGATCACATGGATGTGACTATTGTGAGTCAAAGTTATAGCGCCACCAACTGGCAGCAGGAAGTGTGTCACTTTCAAAATGCTTTGAAATCACTCTCTTATTTTTAACCGATTTGCTTCAAACTTCATCTGTATAATGTAAATACACGGCAGATGTAGACCTGTGAATGAATTTTTGATATCTTTGATACTGTTGCCGTGGCAACGAAACAAACTTTAACATTCTTTTTTGATGCTTTTGGGACTCTTAGCATGCTTGAAATTGCTTGAAACTCAACAGATACATCACATTTATTAGCCAGTAGACATGTGCAACTATGGCAAAAGATTAAAGTAATGTCAAAAAAGTAAACACTAAAAGCCTCATATCTTCTAAAAATGTAATTATACATCATTTGTTTCTAAATTAAATTATACAAATATTATAACTTCCCCAATTTTTCCCTTTTTTCATTTAAGAATTATGTTTACGTTCAAAAACAGCCAGAATTGTTGTAAAATTCAGAAAAAAATAATAATCTGAGTCATACGTAGTGCTATACTGCCCTCTTGTGTTCAATATCAGGTAGGCCTATTGTGTATATTCCCACCGGTTAATCAACGTGTGACTCCGCTGGGACTTGGGAGCTTTTAAATCGCTTACTTAAAACCGAAAGTCAAAATACGGATGTCCGCACAAGACATTAATGGTGTGGAGTAGAGCGAGCATTTTAAATAAATTCCTATTAAGTAGGATTGAACTAAACAGAAAGAATGTTCACTCTGTTCTGCTGGTTCCTCGCTGGTGGATCATATGATTACTTTGTCATAATCTATGACAAAAATGCTATTATAAACTATATTAATAATAGATAATACACATTGCTCTTATTTTTAAAAAATACATTCATGAAAAACAAGATAACAAAAATCATAAAAAGATATAGCCATGGCTGCTATAAATGTTTGAAATGCATAGGACAGATGTTTAATGACGCAGCAACATATAATTGAAAGGCAATTAATAATCTGTCATTACGTCACTGCATTATGATATTACGGCTCTAATACGGTGCAGCACAAAGCACTTATGTGCATCCCGAGCGGAGAATGATGTGCTTGAAGCCACATGAAGTTACAGCGCATTGAGTCCGTATTGAAAAGTTCAAAGCACAAAGGAAATACATATTTATGAACAGTGTATTATACATTATCTATCTATGCAATAGTTTATTGAGCCTTTTCTTTTAAAGGTTTTAAATTTCAGTTACTGTGTGCGTGAAGAACAATTATAGTGCTCTGACTCTAGTGTTGTGATCTAACCGACAGCGTCTGACACCCGGTAGAAAGTAACACGATTAAGTTACAGCAATAAAGTCCAGCAAGAAAAAGTTTCTTCATTCGAAAATATAGACCTTTAGACCTTTATCTTAAAGACCCAGTATAATAGGATTAACATTGAATCATCTTGAAGATCGTTTCATCATTGACTGTAACCGAATGCGACGTGCTGTTTGAATGCTGAATGGAGAATGACTGACAGGCGCAGAGAGGGAAAAGTTTATGTGTTCTTGAATTTAATGACTTAAATATTAATTTCTATATCACATAATAGCTTCAGAACACTTATAATACAGTACACAAAAACTTTATGGTACTTTAGAAAGTTTTTGTGCCTTTGTGCCTTACATAGAATAGTATATGCACAATATAGAATTTGAATCAGCCTCGTCAAAGATGGCAGTGTCAGAGCCGATACCGATCCTGAGTATCTAATCGGCGCACTTCTTTTCAACAGTCAAATTGAAATTGAAATTGCTTGAAACTCAACAGATACATCACATTTATTAGCCAGTAGACGTGCAAAGTTTCAGAAACGGGCATGGTGCAAGGACTAAATAGCGCCACCTTTTGACAAAAGTGGGGTTGTTAGTTTTATCTACAGTTACAAAAATCGGTATATACATTTTACTCCTCAAGCCGGACAACTTTCTATTACATAGTCATTAGCTCGGACCAAGAGGAAGTCAGATATTTTGGTTTGAATATGGTGAGCCTCTCTCTGAGCCTACGTCCCTGTATGGCAAGCCCTTTTAACATTTAAAAGCTAAGTTTGCCTATCCGGAATTAACATTGTAGATATCAACAACGTCTTTCTGTCTAGTCGTAATTACATTTTGGATAGTTTGTATTATCATTTAAGATATCTGTAACATAATTTTGACTAGTCGAAATGACAGAGTATGGCAAGCCGTTTTAACATTTAATCATGAAAGGGCCAAAGCCTTCGGCACCGCCACCCGGGTGCCTTTAGGTAACTAAAGGAACCGGGGTTGCGGTGCCACCGGCTTGGGCCCGCCATCGCTGCTCGCAGCTATATTTAGGGCCCAAGCCCTGAAAGGGCGAAGGCCCTATTGTTTTCCTTAGGATTATTCTTTTCTATTATTATTATTATTATTTTTCTTACGACTATTCGGGCACTTTTGGGGCCCTTAACATGCTCGAAAACTCTTGAAACTTTGCACACGGGTCAGAACCCGCGGCCATCAGAGCCGGGCTGAAGATGGTACCCGGGCGTGGCAGGGGGGCTCGTCAGCGCCCCCTGGAATGGGGTCCGAACACTTGGTCCATAACTCAAACACGCTTGCATGTAATAATATGAAACTCGGTACGCATGTTGATCTCATCGTTTCATCTATACCTCGCGCTTTTACTTTTTACCCCAGCCCAACAGGAAGTCGGCTATTGAGGTTTGTTTGTAAAACGCTCGCAATGGTATTTGAAATACTCCTCCTAGAGCTTTGATCCAAATTCGACGATACTCGGTCAGCGTGAAGTCAAGACATTGAGGATGAAAGCTTGTGTGGGGATTTTTGATATCTCGAACGGTTTGGCCGTGGCGAGGAAACGAAATCATGGCGAGAAACGTGAAACAGGAAGTTTGTTATAACTTCAGCATACATTAACTGATCTTGATGAAACTTCAGCAGTATGTTCGCTGTAAGAGGACGATCACATGGATGTGACTATTGTGAGTCAAAGTTATAGCGCCACCAACTGGCAGCAGGAAGTGTGTCACTTTCAAAATGCTTTGATATCACCCTTTTATTTTTACCCGATTTGCTTCAAACTTCATATGTATAATGTAAACATACGGCAGATGTAGACCTGTGAATGGATTCTTGATATCTTTGAAACTGTTGCCGTGGCGACGCATCAAACTTTACCCTTCTTTTAGGATGCTTTTAGGATGCTTTTGAGACCCTTAGCATGCTTCAAAATGCATGAAACTCGACAGACACATCACATTTATTAGCCAGTAGACACGTGCAAAGTTTCAGAAACGGGCGTGGTGAGGGCTCAGTAGCGCCACCTTTTGACAAAAGTGGGGTTGTTAGTTTTATCTACAGTTACAAAAATCGGTATGTATATTGTACTCCTCGAGCCGGACAACTTTCTAATTGACACTCATTAGCTAGGACCCACAGAAAGTCAGATATGTTTGTTTGAATGTGGTCTTGCTCAATCTGAGCCTACATCTCTGTCTTTGCCTGTCTGTGTATGTGTGTGTGTTTGTA